GGGACACTAAAGAGTGACGCACACAGCTGGAGACCAGGGGACACTAAAGAGTGACGCACACAGCTGGGATACCAGGGACACTAAAGAGTGACGCACACAGCTGGGAGACCAGGGGACACTAAAGAGTGACGCACACAGCTGGGAGACCAGGGGACACTAAAGAGTGACGCACACAGCTGGGATACCAGGGGACACTAAAGAGTGACGCACACAGCTGGGAGACCAGGGACACTAAAGAGTGACGCACACAGCTGGGAGACCAGGAGACACTAAAGAGTGACGCACACAGCTGGGAGACCAGGGGACACTAAAGAGTGACGCACACAGCTGGGAAGACCAGGAGACACTAAAGAGTGACGCACACAGCTGGGAGAACCAGGGGACACTAAAGAGTGACGCACACAGCTGGGAGACCAGGAGACACTAAAGAGTGACGCACACAGCTGGAGACCAGGGGACACTAAAGAGTGACGCACACAGCTGGGAGACCCGGGGACACTAAAGAGTGACGCACACAGCTGGAGACCAGGGACACTAAAGAAGTGACGCACACAGCTGGAGACCAGGGGACACTAAAGAGTGACGCTCCAGCTGGGAGACCAGGGGACACTAAAGAGTGACGCACACAGCTGGAGACCAGGGGACACTAAAGAGTGACGCACACAGCTGGGAGACCAGGGGACACTAAAGAGTGACGCACACAGCTGGAGACCAGGGGACACTAAAGAGTGACGCACACAGCTGGAGACCAGGGGACACTAAAGAGTGACGCACACAGCTGGGAGACCAGGGGACACTAAAGAGTGACGCACACAGCTGGAGACCAGGGGACACTAAAGAGTGACGCACACAGCTGGGAGACCAGGGGACACTAAAGAGTGACGCACACAGCTGGAGACCAGGGGACACTAAAGAGTGACGCTTTGGGGGAATTGTACAACTTTAAGTTATTTTCAACAAAGACAATGAGAAGTATTAAAAATGCACATATGACATTAAAATAAAGAAGTGGTTCAGCGACTGACCTGTGAAGGAACGCATCGGGAGAATCACATTTTTTAAAAAGCACATGAATTTTTAAAGAAACACCCAGACAGTGTGAACAGTGCTGGGAGAAAAATGGGATTATAAATGTTAATGTTCTCAGGGGCGCAGCTTTAAAAAGATTTGAATTTAACACATCACACGGGAGGAACGACAATAATAAGACCGGTTTTATCATCAGAAAGCCCTGGTGCATGCTGGGGAATATTTGCGATTTGTTGACGTGAGATTGTAATAAAGGTGGAGGTGTTGTTGAGAGACTGCAGCAGCTGCGATAAGGACGCTGCTGACAGGAGAGGAGGGGAAGAAAAGGCAGAACTGAAATATAAAGCCGCAGAGCTCTGAGTCTGCAGGGAGGATGTTTTAAAAAGGATGCAGAACCTGAACAGAAACGCAGCGTCACCTTCCTGCTGAGACAAAGCACACAGACTCACCACGCCCTCTGCATCAAGGTCAGCAGCAGCAGGTTTTTACATGCAATAATAAAGAAGGTAATGTTTCCTCAACTGTCACACAAGTACTTAAAGGTCACATGACTTGGCCATTTCTACTGATCATGATTCCATTGTTGAGGTCTACTAGAATAGTCATACAGCATTAGGGCTGTGCAATTAATCGTATTTTAATCGCAATTACGATTTTGGCCTGCCACAATTACGAAAACAACATAATCGAAAAAAACGATTATTTTGCTTTGCTAGGTTGTGACAGTGCACTGCAACATATTTGATCTAATTTATTTGTATTTATCATATTTATATATGTTTAGTAGCTTGTTGAAGTGCGCTCCAAAATATTTGTTGATCTTGTTTATTGGTATTTATTATTTAGATATTATTTATTTAAATGTAGATATAAATGTATCATTTATTTTAGTATTGGTTTTTCAGTTGAATTATACGCTCAGGGAAATCAACAGTTAAAAAGATACTGTTCAAATTATTATTTGTATTTAAAAGTTCAATAAATGGATTTTTTCAAAGTCAATGAATAATCGTATTTAATAATCGCGATATCAATTATTGACCAAAATAATCGTGATTATGATTTTTGCCATAATCGCATAGCCCTATACAGCATCTCTGTATAGCATGTGTATTCACTCTCTGTCCTACACGCCTTGTTGGAGCTCCTGCCCCCCCCCTCCCTATGAGCCCACTGTGCTCTGATTGGTCAGCTCGCCCACTCTGTTCTGATGAGTCCACCACCGTTGCGGGGCTCGCTGCTGCGCCCTTTGAGGTTCAAGGAGCGGACAGTGTGAGCTGGATTACTAGTGTTGTTTCCTGGTTGCTGCGTGGGGTCTGCGAGACAGCGAGACACGGTGAGTGGAGATCCACGCAGCTGCGGCTGAGAAAAGATACGGCTGAGTGAGTGTGTGTGTGTGTGTGAGGAGCTCCACGGATTGGTCCATTTGGATCGTCGTTACGTCACTTGGTTCCCGGAAGAAGAAAAAACATCTCCAACGAGGCGTTCTGGGGCAGCATAGACAGGTCTTTTCTGTGTTTTTACTCGCTACAGGGTGTACTTTGAGGGTTTGTGACTCTGCAGACCGTTTACATGCAGAAAAACCTTCATAACACAAGGGGACGGGTAATAACCAGAAAAGCATGACATGGGACCTTTAATGTTCATAATACTCTGAATATGGGGGAATAACCGGGGATGATAAGCTTTTGTTCACACGTTTAAGAGACAACTCAACACCCAATGTAATTAGATTTGATTTATTATTGTTTTATTGAACAGTAGAAGGAAATAAGACACTATAAAAAGAGGTGTTATTAACAATGTTTAATGTCTCTATACCTGATATAATAGAGTAGCATTAGGGTCACATGTGGATTCTGAGACAAAAACTATTCAGATTTTTTTCAGAAAATCTCAGTATTCTGACTTTTCTCAGTTCAAATAGCAAACAGACTTAGTTAGAATAAAAAGTTAGAACAAAAGAAAAGCCAGAATTCAGATTTCTTTTTTTAAAGTCTGAATAATTTGTTTACGTTACAATTTAGAGAAAATAGTCAGAATTCTGTTAAACATCGCCGTTGTGTCACGGCCTGCACGTAGATTTTTCTGAGTGAGTGTTGACGGAGCAGCTTCAATGTTAGCTTAGCTTAGCCCTCATCGCTCCAAACTCCATTCAGAAAGCAAACATTTTAAGAGTCGTCCTCTCACTGACAAACCTGACAAACTGTTAATTTAGATTTTTGTATTAATCAACCTCACGATGGAGACTCAAATAACCTCCAGAAAAAGGTTGAAACAGAGGTTTTGCAAGTTTCTTTTTCTCCACTCTGGGATCATTAACTTCTGTCATTACCAGAGAAATTAAGTCTTAAATTAAATCTCAGTGAGCCTGCAGACACTCTGAGATCCGGTCCCAATCTGCTGCCCACACACACACACACACACACACACACACACACACACACACACACACACACACACACACACACACACACACACACACACACACACACACACAAGTCTTCTTATTTCTGGTTATTGAGCGACTGCAGACTCTCTCCTTGATTTCATTTTATAAGATGATTTAAGTTATTTTTTTAACAAATCCTCCAACATTAATGTGCTTTGAAAGCAAATACATGTCAAACGTGTTGTATTGTTGTCTGAACTTGTCCTTAGCACATCCACATACCTGTGTTTACCTGCTGTATTCACACCGAATATGAAGCAACATTTGGTCTTGAAAGAGTTGTGTTTGTTTAAAGGGGTTCTATGTTGGATATATTAACCTATAATGACATGTCAAAGTGTATTTATTAGTAGATATATATTGAATTATAGCTTATAATCTGAATCAAGTATAAGATAACCAAAAGTAATGAGTAACTTAAGCTGGCAGAGGAACCAAAATGTACAATATTGGCTTGAAATGAGCGCAAACACTCAGGTAAAGTTCCCTTAAATTGTACTTAAGTTGAGTTAATGAGTAAATGTACTTTGATATATTTTCCCTCCGAGTACTAAAGCATCTTCAGTTCTTCTCTGACGGACGGAGGTGTTATTTTATTCACCGTCACCTCTGTTTACACGGCTCCATTAGTGAGGACAGGGCGGAGGTGAACTCAGGGGCAAATTGATTTCCTGTCCTCTTCCTCCTCCTCCTCTTCCTCCTCCACAAACAAACTGTTCAGCTCTGCAGAGTCTTTAATGTGTGTGTGTGTGTGTGTGTGTGTGTGTGTGTGTGTGTGTGTGTGTGTGTGTGTGTGTGTGTGTGTGTGTGTGTGTGTGTGTGTGTGTGTGTGTGTGTGTGTGTGTGTGTGTGTGTGTGTGTGTGTGTGTGTGTGTGTGTGTGTGTGTGTGTGTGTGTGTGTGTGTGTGTGTGTGTGTGTGTGTGTGTCTGTCCTGTCTGGGCATCTGTCTTTCTGTCTGTGTGTGTGTGTGTGTATCTGTCTGTCTGTGTGTGTGCGTCTGTCTGTCTGTGTCTGTCTGTCTGTGTGTGTGTGTGTGTGTGTGTGTGTGTGTGTGTGTGTGTGTGTGTGTGTGTCTCTGTCTTTCTGTCTGTGTGTGTGTGTGTGTCTGTCTGTGTGTGTGTGTGTGTGTGTCTGTCTGTCTGTGTGTGTGTGTGTGTGTGTCTGTGTCTGTCTGTGTGTGTCTGTGTGTGTGTGTGTGCGTGTGTGTGTGTGTGTGTGTCTCTGTCTGTCTGTCTGTCTGTCTGTATGTCTGTGTGTGTCTGTGTGTGTGTACGTGTGTGTGTGTGTGTGTGTGTGTGTGTGTGTGTCTCTGTCTGTATGTCTGTCTGTATGTCTGTGTGTGTGTGTGTGTGTGTGTGTGTGTGTGTGTGGTGTGTGTGTGTGTGTGTTGTGTGTTGTGTGTGTGTGTGTGTGGTGTGTGTGTGGTGTGTGTGTGTGTGTTGTGTGTGGTGTGTGTGTGTGTGTGTGTGTGTGTGTGTGTGTGGTGTGTGTGTGTGTGTGTGTGTTCTATTTTTTAGTCAATTGGGATCCAGATGTCCTTGGATATGCTGGAGAAGAGGCTGTGGGCCATCGCCAAGCAGGTGAGGAGGAGTCACGTCACATGATGCCCGAATGAAAAGGACACTAAGGACATGATGATAAACTCTTATAACTTCAACTCTAACCCCCAAAACACAAACACAACCCTGACCCCCTGGCAGACAGAGTTACTGAGGGGAATTCACAAAGGAATCCGGGTGATTTTGCCAGTGATTCGACAAAATAAGGCTTTACAGAGAGACTAAATTCACCCATAACCGTCCTGCTAAACAAAAAGCTTCTAGCAGTTCCTGCAGATATTGAGATGAGGTTTTCTGCAGACTCAGGGCGCACATGTGACTCCTTTCTATGCAAAACACCTCAATGCACAAATTATCAAAGGAAATCCTGGTTCATGGGGCCAGCAAATCTGACAAGAAAAGACTTAGTATCTCAATCTCTAATAATGACTTAGGCTACTTTCACACGGGAACGTTTGCGTTTATGCACAGTATGCGTTTTCAAAAAAGTCTTCCGTTCACATGCATTCGTTTCATTTAACGTGTCTGTTCAAACGAGACCGCTGGACACGCTGTAGTACATATGCCGGGACTGTAAGTGGCGCTGTAACTTCCGCCACAAAATACACCAAAAGCAGCGAAGAAGACCCCGGAGCAGCCCCGGAGCAATGTTGCCATGGCTACCCTTCTGTTTATGCCCCGCTGTGGATTTAGCAACATGTAGTTCATGTAATTCTCCATGTCCACTTGTTGCTGATGGTTGTGGTAGAGGAGCTGTAGATGTTGCACTAACATCTGTAGCATGGTCAGTAGCAGTAGCACTAGCAGTAGCTACTGACAGTAGCTACTGGCCATGCTACAGCACTGAGCAGCAGATGCGGGGAGAGGCGGGGCTATCGCTATTTTTTTCAGGAAATATTCGTATAGAGGCGACTTACACGGACTCGTTTGACCCCCCAGAGAGTTTCGTTTGCAAATCTATCCACCTTGGGACCCGTTATCGTTTGTGGGGTCCGTTTGTTACGGCCTCGTGTAAATAATAGGGCTATACGTAAGAGAACTATGCAGATACAAGCCGTTTACTTCTCGTGTAAATGTGGCCTTAGTATCTCTAATAATGACTTAGTATCTCTAATAATCAATCAATCTTTATTTCAGACTCAAGGTCCATATCACATACAAAAATGACAAGATACACATCAATAACTAAGATTAAAAGCTAAACATAAAACAAAAAAAACAAACAGATAAAAAACATAAAATCAGTCCAATCACAGCTAGCCACACATGCTCACTGTCTGTGGAGGCTGTTGCGCCAATGTCTCCAAGTCATGGGAGAGAACCGAGTAGAACTCTTCACAGGGTTAATTAAAGTCGAGATAACATGATTGTCAGAGTCTTCTTGGCGACACATGAATTTGTACATTACATTTCTTAAAAGGGCTTGACAGGTAGGTACCCCCAAGTTAACAAACAGCTGGCTGGCACTGTGCCATCTTGGTACCCTCACCAGTAACCGTAAAGCATCATTGTATGCAACTTATAGTTTTTGCAAGCTTCTAGCCTTGTAGTTACTCCACAGGTGAGCCGTGTGCAATGGTGTACAGAAAGCTTTCAAAAGTGACACCTTGACATCTACAGAGCACTTGTGAAATGTCCGCCATGAAATATGTTTGCCTGGGCATACAGTTAATAATGACTTAGTATCTCTAAAAATGACTTAGTATCTCAAAATAATGTCATAGTATCTCAAAATAATGTCATAGTATCTCAAAATAATGTCATAGTATCTCAAAATAATGACTTAGTATCTCAAAATAATGTCATAGTATCTCAAAATAATGTCATAGTATCTCAAAATAATGACTTAGTATCTCAAAATAATGTCATAGTATCTCAAAATAATGTCATAGTATCTCAAAATAATGTCATAGTATCTCAAAATAATGGCTTAGTATCTCAAAATAATGACTTAGTATCTCAAAATAATGACTTAGTATCTCAAAATAATGACTTAGTATCTCAAAATAATGTCATAGTATCTCAAAATAATGTCATAGTATCTCAAAATAATGTCATAGTATCTCAAAATAATGTCATAGTATCTCAAAATAATGTCATAGTATCTCAAAATAATTCATATATCTCAATAAATGTCTAGTATCTCAAAATAATGTCTAGTATCTCAAATAATGGCTTAGTATCTCAAAATAATGACTTAGTATCTCAAATAATGTCATAGTATCTCAAAATAATGGCTATAGTATCTCAAAATAATTGACTTAGTATCTCAAAATAATGGCTTAGTATCTCAAAATAATGACTTAGTATCTCAAAATAATGTCATAGTATCTCAAAATAATGACTAGTATCTCAAAATAATGACTTAGTATCTCAAAATAATGACTTAGTATCCTCAAAATAATGGACTTAGTATCTCAAAATAATATCATAGTATCTCAAATAATGTCATAGTATCTCAAAATAATGTCATAGTATCTCAAAATAATGTCATAGTACCTCCAAAATAATGTCATAGTATCTCAAAATAATGACTTAGTATCTCAAAATAATGTCATAGTATCTCAAAATAATGACTTAGTATCTCAAAATAATGACTAGTATCTCAAAAATAGGGCTCTGGTTTCAGACAGACGGGTTGAAAAGAGGTGCTGCAGCACAGGCAGTATGAGAACAATAAAGAGCTTCTTGAACATGAAAGGAGACGTGTCAGAGAGGTACAGAGATGTTAAAAAGCCTATAATGTGATGTTTAAATGGAGCTAGGACATTATTTCACATCACTGTTTGCCGCTCGGTTAAACCAACGTTCCACTCAAATCCACAACAACTTGACTTTAGACTTTAGAGAAGAAGGGAGGAACGTTTCTGCACAGAGAGTCTTAAGAACAAATGACCCAGTAATAATCCTCCAGATTCAGAGGTCATTCTTCCAGTTTTGGTTTTTCCCTCATCAGGGAGCAGAACCCATTAATGGTGTGAATTAAATCCCTTTTAATGTTTTGGTTATTTGAAGATTAAAGATGAAGCTGCTGGATTCGACCCTTCAGAGACCAACGGGAAGATTAACGCTCCGTCACTGTTTTAATATGATTTAATTTCCTTTTGATTCTCCCGTTTAAAAAAGCTTAAAGATTAAGTTTAATCAACTGTCTAATTATAGACCAGTCTGCCCCCTGTACTGAAGCTAACATGCTACGCTAGCATGCAGTTATTAGTAGATATGGGGATGTTAGCATGCTACATTTAACAATTAACTCAAAGTCCACTTTTGTCCTCAAGTAGTGTTTAAATGGGTGTCACGTCCCAACTAGGGGAAGAGGAAAGCGACACACACCAGTTGGAATTGGTCATAATTATAAGGAGTTTATTAAATAACAGGTTAACAAAATGGAAGGCACGCAACCTGAAACAAACAAAAGGGCCAAAAGGACGTAGGTTTAAATGAGGAACCAACAAAGGAAGGACTCTTCGGAGCCTAATTAAACACAAAGAAATAGATACTAACAAACAAAATAGCAACAAAACAACCCTCACTATCAAAGTGGTACAAACTAACGAAAGGAGACTGTAGGAGAACACAGCTATACTAGAGGACAACAGTCAACATAACACTAAACTAATCTAGACGCCAATAATCACAACAATACTAATACGGACCACGCGAGGTAACCACTGTTCACAGATGTGTCTACAGTCAAAGAGCGAGTAGCGAGAGGCGTCTGTTCACACAGCAGAGCCTCCCGACTAGTGATGTGTCGGTCTCGAACGAGCCGATTCTTTTGAACGGCTCTTTGGTACGAACGAGGGGAACCGAGTCCTACTTGGTGAGAGCCGTTCTTGTTATCGTTCAATCGTTGGTCCGCACTCACTGCCTGCCAAAATCCACTCGCCTTTTAAAAAGCTTGATTTTGTTCCCCAAATGTATTCTGTGAAGACCCGCCCCTACTCTGATTGGTAGGTTTCAGCACGAGGAGTGAGATGGGGTGTGTCTTAACGGAATACGCGAGAGAGAGAAGTCATAACAAGTGGTACAGGACAGGTAGACGACGTGTTGCTATAGCAACTCCAAGCTACCCCCTGGCGCCGCGCCTGAACGGAGCCATAAGATCCGGCTCCCTTCAAAGAGCCATAATTCCCATCACTACTCCCGACAGATAGTTGTCCACCGGCTTTGTAGTCGTCTCCGGAAGGTGTGCTGGATGTGCGCTGGGATTGGAGCGCGTCGGGCCCGGCATGCTCCAATCACAATCTTCGGGGCGGACCAGGAGATGGGTAGGCCAATGACGTCAGGGCAACCTCACAGCTCATTTACATAGAACAACAGGCAAAACAGAGTTAACAGGACCGGGGAGGCGGCGGCCGTAACAATGGGCATCAATCTTGCGTTTTGTATATATGTTGGCGAAGAATTGACTGGAAGTTGTTAATAAGCAGAATTAACTGAAAAAGGGCGACGGACACTTTTAAGATCAAGCATTCAGTCAGAAAGAAAAGACAGACGCAATGAAAAAAATTAGATTTAGAAGAAACAAACAAATGAACAGGGTCAGAGTCCAAGAAAAACATTTCCTCTGGAGCCTTCCTAACAGTAATAACCGATACACAGACCAGTTTAGACACACTTTGCTCCTGTTCTGTATCCGATGAAGTATTGAGAGGTTGTTTAAATGTGTAAATAGTTTAATGATTCTTGTTTTATTATCTCTCTTTTCTCCTCATCTTCCTCGACTCTTCTCCTGATTCCAGCCCAGCGACACAGATGTGAGTAACTCTGAATATTCTGTTAGTTTGTGTGCAGGTAACCTCTCCTAAATGTTCCATCCTCAGACACTCTCTGAATATTTCCCTGTCTCTGTTGTTAATTAACCAGCAGGTTGAGTTTGTTTCCACTTTATTTAAAGGTCACCAATTATGCAAAATCCTCTTCTTCATGTCTCTTCTACATCAACATGTGTCCCCTCTTCTTCATGTCTCTTCTACATCAACATGTGTCCCCTCTTCTTCATGTCTCTTCTACATCAACATGTGTCCCCTCTTCTTCATGTCTCTTCTACATCAACATGTGTCCCCTCTTCTTCATGTCTCTTCTACATCAACATGTGTCCCCTCTTCTTCATGTCTCTTCTACATCAACATGTGTCCCCTCTTCTTCATGTCTCTTCCACATCAGCATGTGTCCCCTCTTCTCCATGTCTCTTCTACATCAACATGTGTCCCCTCTTCTTCATGTCTCTTTCACATCAACATGTGTCCCCTCTTCTTCATGTCTCTTCTACATCAACATGTGTCCCCTCTTCTTCATGTCTCTTCTACATCAACATGTGTCCCCTCTTCTTCATGTCTCTTCTACATCAACATGTGTCCCCTCTTCTTCATGTCTCTTCTACATCAACATGTGTCCCCTCTTCTTCATGTCTCTTCTACATCAACATGTGTCCCCTCTTCTTCATGTCTCTTCTACATCAACATGTGTCCCCTCTTCTTCATGTCTCTTCTACATCAACATGTGTCCCCTCTTCTTCATGTCTCTTCCACATCAGCATGTGTCCCCTCTTCTCCATGTCTCTTCTACATCAACATGTGTCCCCTCTTCTTCATGTCTCTTCTACATCAACATGTGTCCCCTCTTCTTCATGTCTCTTCTACATCAACATGTGTCCCCTCTTCTTCATGTCTCTTCTACATCAACATGTGTCCCCTCTTCTTCATGTCTCGTCTACATCAACATGTGTCCCCTCTTCTTCATGTCTCCTCTACATCAACATGTGTCCCCTCTTCTTCATGTCTCTTCTACATCAACATGTGTCCCCTCTTCTTCATGTCTCTTCTACATCAACATGTGTCCCCTCTTCTTCATGTCTCTTCTACATCAACATGTGTCCCCTCTTCTTCATGTCTCTTCTACATCATGTGTCCCCTCTTCTTCATGTCTCTTCTACATCAACATGTGTCCCCTCTTCTTCATGTCTCTTCTACATCAACATGTGTCCCCTCTTCTTCATGTCTCTTCTACATCAACATGTGTCCCCTCTGTGTAAAGAGACTCTGAAAGTTTCAGGAACAAAGATTCTCTCTCTTTTGATCCATTTCTATAAAAACTTGTCTGAAAATGAGCTGATCAGATTTTGGCCACTTTATGATGTCATAACGATGTTTTGTCTTGTGTAACCATTAGCCAATCAGCAACCAAGGTAACCCCCCCCCCCCTTATCACCTGAATCTCCTCCAAGAGCACCATTGAGTTCTTTTTAACCAAATCTCTCTCAGAGGGGCGTGGGGAGGGGCTCCTTATTTTCATCTAAAGTAACAGACAGAGAATTAGCACTTTGGAAACAGGGCTGAAACAGAGGGGATTATGGGTAATGCTGCAATGATCTGTTTGGTGTTTCAGCCAATCAGAGACAGGTTCTGGATATATCTGAGACCTGTAATATATTGATGAAAAACAGTATAATAGGGGACCTTTAAGAGTTTCTTACTCTAAGTTTGACTCTCTCTCTCTCTCTCTCTCTCTCTCTCTCTCTCTCTCTCTCTCTCTCTCTCTCTCTCTCCACCTCAGTGTTCCACCATCGAAGGAGTTTGTCCTCTGAGCTGTGAGAGCCTCGTGAGTATCTGATCCTCAACTAACATCTGACTCCATCTTTAAAACATTTAGAAAACACTTCTTCTTCTCCCTCTTCCTCCTCCTCCTCTTCCTCCTCCTCCTCAGGATCTGAACTGTTTCCTGGTCGATAACAATGGCTTCGTCCTGCTGTCCAAAGAGAGAAACGATGTAAGTTAATTCAACTAAGTGAATCTGTAAAAAGACTCCGTTACAAGTTAAAGTCCTGCATTGGAGAAGTAAGTAAAATCAGCTAAATGTATATAACATATTAAACTAAAAATAACTAAAGCAGTAAAATCTAAAACTGTTTTAAAAAAAGAAAATCACTCAAAAAATTCCCCAAAAATAGGAAAATAAATTCAATGTTTAAAGATGCCAATAAAGAAATCCCCGATGAGATAATTGATTGATTTGACGGAGCTGTGTATTCAACCTGTAAAATAAGTGTATAAAAAGAAGTGAAAACTAGAATAACGTGTAACAATTCTTAAAAAATGCATTTTGTTGCATTTTTTTATGGCAAAATTATGAATAACTTAGTCGTCATTTTAAGATATTTTTCAGAAAATGTCAATTTAACAATCATCAAATAACGTTTTTTTTCTTATCGGTCAGATTCATGTGTTGTCTTTGGGTTTTTAACAGTTGGACAGGACACGTGATGGCTTTAACTGCTGTCACATTTTGGGTGAAAAAAGCGTTTTTTAAAATCCTCTGTAAATGAAACGGGACTCTTTAACCTCCGGAGAGACAGGAAGTAGATTTCTGTGACTCAGGACGAGGTTTTCGTGGATCATTTCACAAACAACATCTGGACGCCTCGCAGGGTTTAAGGACAGTTGCTTTTAATCTGTGTGTGTGTGTGTGTGTGTGTGTGTGTGTGTGTGTGTGTGTGTGTGTGTGTGTGTGTGTGTGTGTGTGTTGTGTGTGTGTGTGTGTGTGTGTGGTGATGTGTGTGTGTGTGTGTGTGTGTGTGTGTGTGTGTGTGTGTGTGTGTGTGTGTGTGTGTGTGTGTGTGTGTGTGTGTGTGTGTGTGGTGTGTGTGGTGTGTGTGTGTGTGTGTGTGTGTGTGTGTGTGTGTGTGTGTGTGTGTGCTGCAGGTTTTATTGCTCTTGATAAGTGGAAATGTATCTGAAAACAGTGACTGTTGAGGATTTAAAGACTCGAATACATTAATGTCAAGTAAGATTTGACTATGCTTTGTTCTTTTTATATATTATTTGCACATTTAAAGGGGGTTAACAGGTAGAAAACAATATGATACCGTATAATTGCCTCAATTGTTATCAATCATGTTCAAAATTAAGGGGTTATTTGGTACATTTAGAGTTATTTTAACCATTTAAAACACATTTAATTCCACAGATAATTTACTGTAGATATCTATTAGTTGACATTTTCTTGCTTCAAATGATTCGACAAAGACAAAACAAGTAAGCAAAAGTTGTGTACGTCTTAGAAATCAACATCATTTTAACACCCTGTCTGCTCTGATTGGTTAGCTGGCCGGATCTGTTGTGATTGGTCAACCGCTTAGAGATGTCCCGCTTCATTAGCCAAGTTAGGGTTAGTTTTCCATAGTGATGTCACACTGTTCAGGAAGTAAACAAAGTTCCAATGAAGGCGTTTCAGGCAGGAAGGGAGAGAAATCAGATACATTTGGATAACAAAAAGTGTCCAGTGTCCAGACTGCTGTCCATCTGACAGCTGCTCGTTACCTCGGATTAACTGTTAAGAGCCATATTACTGAGGATTAATGCCACACACACACACACACACACACCCACAACACACACACACACACACACACACATTCACACACACACACACACACACACACACACACACACACCACACACACACACACACACACACACACACACACACACTGTTGATGGACAGGAGGACAGCAGCTGGATGAGGTTTATCTGTCGGGTCAAAAAGACCTCCACCCTAAACTAAAATCCTCTCTTATGTAATATCTATATACATAACATGTGATATATCTGAGCACGCTGTAAACAAAGAGTCACCTTTATTTATAGATAACATTTAAAAATAACCCACGTTGACCGAAGTGCTGTACAGACCAGAGCAGGTAAACATCAACACACAGCTCATAGATACATATAAACAACACACAGCTCATAGATACATGTAAACAACACACAGCTCATAGATACATGTAAACAACACACAGCTCATAGATACATGTAAACAACACACAGCTCATAGATACATGTAAACAACACACAGCTCATAGAAACATGTAAACAACACACAGCTCATAGATACATGTAAACAACACACAGCTCATAGATACATGTAAACAACACACACACACAGATACATGTAAACAACACACAGCTCATAGATACATGTAAACAACACACAGCTCATAGATACATGTAAACAACACACAGCTCATAGATACATGTAAACAACACAACATAGATACATGTAAACAACACACAGCTCAGATACATGTAAACAACACACAGCCATAGAACATGTAAACAACACACAGCTCATAGATACATGTAACAACACACAGCTCAGATACATGTAAACAACACACAGCTCATAGATACATGTAAACAACACACAGCTCAGATACATGTAAACAACACACAGCTCATAGATACATGTAAACAACACACAGCTCATAGAAACATGTAAACAACACACAGCTCATAGAAACATGTAAACAACACACAGCTCATAGATACATGTAAACAACACACAGCTCATAGATACATGTAAACAACACAAGCTCATAGATACATGTAACAAACACACAGCTCATAGATACATGTAAACAACACACAGCTCATAGAAACATGTAAACAACACACAGCTCATAGATACATGTAAACAACACACAGCTCATAGATACATGTAAACAACACACAGCTCATAGATACATGTAAACAACACACAGCTCATAGAAACATGTAAACAACACACAGCCTCATAGATACATGTAAACAACACACACACAGCTCATAGATACATGTAAACAACACACAGCTCATAGATACATGTAAACAACACACAGCTCATAATACATGTAAACAACACACAGCTCATAGATACTTAAACAACACACAGCTCTAGATACATGTAAACAACACACAGCTCATAGAAACATGTAAACAACACACAGCTCATAGATACATGTAAACAACACACAGCTCAGATACATGTAAACAACACACAGCTCATAGATACATGTAAACAACACACAGCTCATAGATACATGTAAACAACACACAGCTCATAGATACATGTAAACAACACACAGCTCATAAATACATGTAAACAACACACAGCTCATAGATACATGTAAACAACACACAGCTCAGATACATGTAAACAACACACAGCTCATAGAAACATGTAAACAACACACAGCTCATAGATACATGTAAACAACACACAGGTCAGATACATGTAAACAACACACAGCTCATAGATACATGTAAACAACACACAGCTCATAGATACATGTAAACAACACACAGCTCATAGATACATGTAAACAACACACAGCTCATAGATACATGTAAACAACACACAGCTCATAGATACAAATAAACAACACACAGCTCATAGATACATGTAAACAACACACAGCTCATAGATACATGTAAACAACACACAGCTCATAGATACATGTAAACAACACACAGCTCATAGATACATATAAACAACACACAGCTCATAGATACATGTAAACAACACACAGCTCAGATACATGTAAACAACACACAGCTCATAGATACATGTAAACAACACACAGCTCATAGATACATGTAAACAACACACAGCTCAGATACATGTAAACAACACACAGCTCATAGATACATGTAAACAACACACAGCTCATAGAAACATGTAAACAACACACAGCTCATAGATACATGTAAACAACACACAGCTCATAGATACATGTAAACAACACACAGCTCATAGATACATGTAAACAACACACAGCTCATAGATGCATGTAAACAACACACAGCTCATAGATACATGTAAACAACACACAGCTCATAGATACATGTAAACAACACACAGCTCATAGATACATGTAAACAACACACAGCTCATAGATACATGTAAACAACACACAACTCATAGATACATGTAAACAACACACAGCTCATAGATACATGTAAACAACACACAGCTCATAGATACAAATAAACAACACACAGCTCATAGATACATGTAAACAACACACAGCTCATAGATATATGTAAACAACACACAGCTCATAGATACATGTAAACAACACACAGCTCATAGATACATATAAACAACAAACAGCTCATAGATACATGTAAACAACACACAGCTCAGATACATGTAAACAACACACAGCTCATAGATACATGTAAACAACACACAGCTCATAGATACATGTAACAACACACAGCTCAGATACATGTAAACAACACACAGCTCATAGATACATGTAAACAACACACAGCTCATAGAAAACATGTAAACAACACACAGCTCATAGATACATGTAAACAACACACAGCTCATACATACATGTAAAACACACACAGCTCATAGATACATGTAAACAACACACAGCTCATAGATGCATGTAAACAACACACAGCTCATAGATACATGTAAACAACACACAGCTCATAGATACAAATAAAACAACACCACAGCTCATAGATACATGTAAACAACACACAGCTCAAAGATACATGTAAACAACACACACAGCTCATAGATACATGTAAACAACACACAGCTCATAGATACATGTAAAACAACACACAGCTCAGATACATGTAAACAACACACAGCTCATAGATACATGTAAACAACACACAGCTCATAGATACATGTAAACAACACACAGCTCAGATACATGTAAACAACACACAGCTCATAGATACATGTAAAACAACACACAGCTCATAGAAACATGTAAACAACACACAGCTCATAGATACATGTAAACAACACACAGCTCATAGATACATGTAAACAACACACAGCTCATAGATACATGTAAACAACACACAGCTCATAGATACATGTAAACAACACACAGCTCATAGATACATGTAAACAACACACAGCTCATAGATACATGTAAACAACACACAGCTCATAGATACATGTAAACAACACAC